GGGGACGGCGGCGCCTCCGCGTCAGGCGGGAGCGCGGGCTCTCAGGAGCCAAGAGGCGCAGACGACCGCGGGGCGCGGAGCCTACCGAGTCCGGGGCGCGGCGGCGGCGAGGGAGGCGAGGGCGACGGGGCCGCGCGAGGAACGCGCGCAGGAGGCAGCGGAGTGCGGGCCGAGTGCGGGCGCAGCGCCGCGGCGAGGGCGGGAAGTGCGGCCGGCGGGGCGGCGGGAGCGAAGTCGGTGTGGGACGACGACGCGGGGGGCCCGAGAGTGAGGGGCGGAGGCAGCGGGAGGCGCGGGCTGGGAGCGGGCGTGGGGTGCGGAGTACAACACACCAGGCTGGGAGGGGTCGGAGAGGGGCAGGAGGTGGGGATGGAGCCCGCGCGGTGGAGACTCACCCAGGTCCAGTGCTCCAGGATCCCCAAGCCTTCTCCGTGTGGACACATCCTAGTGCGCCTGCCCAGGCTCCCTGATAGCCTCCTCGGGGTGTTTCACTACCCTCAGGACAGCGACCAACTAGCCTTAAAATCTCTGCTTAAATAAAATCTAAAAGCTAAAATATAGTCAAGTATGAGGCTAGAAGGAGCTCTGACAATTATTATCTGTCCAAGAAAGGAATGTGCACTTGTTGCGATCCTGGGAGACCCCTTTGCTGCAATTAGATAGTGAACATGTTGAGGATGAGAATGTTTGACAGAGGCAGGGAGACCATCTCCTAGGTCTGTCCCGGAGCCCCTGCTGTCTGATCCTTACTGCTGGTGTCTGTTATAAATTTTCAACCTTTTTTTTTTCTTAATTCTCAAGTTGAGGTCCCTGAGCTCCTGCACCAGAATCCCTGAGGAGTGTGTTCCAAATGCAGTTCCTTCGGCCCCACTTCCCACCAGGGGTGCTGTCAGGACCCTGTGGTGGATCGCAGCCTCAGGAACCTAGAGGACTGCAATTGAGGATGGAGGTGGGGGCTGGGGTTAAGAGAACGTTTTTCCTTCATGGTGTTAAGTTCTCTTTTATCTCAGAGCCCTCAGGTGGTGGAACTGAGTGGAAGAGGTCCAGGAGAGGGATACCTATTTCCCTTCTCCAAGGAGGGAAGGTTCAGTCCTCATTGTCAGTTCCAGGATTCCCAGGTGCCTGGGCAGAGCCCTGTCATGGGGCGTTAGGACAGGGCCCTGAGAGATGCACAGGATTTCCGTACAGTGGCACAGATAGTGAAGAAGGATGTAACCACATAGACACAGTGGTGGAGTGCAGAGGTTCAGAGTATGGGTTTAGCACTCTCAGGATTTGGATGGTCCATATCCGGCTCTGCAGCTTCAGAGTAAACAATTTGGTCGCAAGCCCATATCCAGGCATGCTCAATTACACAGTGATACAAATGGCTGGCGGCTGATATCAACTCTGCACACATCCCAGTCCTCCTCTGCAAAACCGTGTTTGCTGAGTGGGTGAATTTGGGGAGGTGGATTAACTTTTCTGACCAATCAGGGGAGAGCATGGGAGTTACCTTGTTGCTGCTTTTTTTCTCCTTCTCCTAGCCCTTTTTGCAACCTCACCTCAAATGCACAAACTCCAAGTGCAAAAACCATGGGTCCTTCCCACCACTCCAGTCCAGCTGCTGCATCCCAGTGCCCAATCCTCCCCCATACTCCTCTCCATGTTCAGTGCCATATCAAGAGGAGGGTGAGGATGGTGGATAGGGAGTGCTCTGATAATGGAAAAAACGCTGACAACTTCATAGTGAAAACTGACAATTCTAGAGAATAACTGACTACAAATTCCTTTAATTTAACCTACCATAATGTTTTTTTTGTTTAATTCCACCTCAGAAAAATGGATATTATATAGTAAGACTTCATGGCATACTTTTTACTGTTGTGGTAGAAGAAAACAGGCTGAACATTTTGGGAGATATATCTATATCTATCTATATAGATATAGATATTTCAATTGTAAAATAAATCTTTTTTTAAAAATAACTTTATTTATTTATTTTTCCCCCAAAGCCCCAGTAGATAGTTGTATGTCATAGCTGCACATCCTTCTAGTTGCTGTATGTGGGACGCGGCTGAGGCCGGAGAAGCGGTGTGTCGGTGCGCGCCCGGATCCGAACCTGGGCCACCAGTAGTGGAGCGCGTGCACTTAACCGCTAAGCCCCAGGGCCGGCCCAATAAATAATTCTTATAATAGTTATTATTGAAGAGCCTAGTTGTGTCATGGGCTGGGGGGCTGTGCTTTATGTACATTCAGCCTCACAATAACTTTGTGAGGTAGGTTCTATGTTTATAGACATATTTTAAAATGAGAGAACTGAGGCCCGGAAAGAGTAATGACTCCACCATGGTCACACAGCTAGTAAATGTTAAAGTCAGGTTGTGAATTCTTGTCTGACTCCAATGCTTTTAAGACTAATGACTATTCTGTATTATTCAATAAGCACAATTTTTCTATTTCCGTCTCTTTAAAGATCACATAAACCACCCCATCACCGAAATTTTACAGGTGTTGTGTCTTTTGCGCTGTTGCAAGATAGCCATAATTCCTAAAATAAATGAATAAATACTTAATGCAAATTATTTACAACACTTTCTGTATATTTTTATATTTCCATAAAAAATATGATCGCTGAGATTTTTTTTACAAATTATTTTTAATTAATATTTATCAGACATAATAATGTATGCCTACATATTTTTTTTGGGTAAAAAATAACACCCATATAAATAGTCTGAGTATAAACTATAAAAAGTCTCTCCACATTTTTGGTAATGTAAATATGCAATATTTATGTCTAATAATGTGTTTGTAGTCGGTGTTCAAATTACTATTTTGTATTGATAAATGAGGTGTGTTAATTTCATCTAGAATACAATACTCGAGACACATTTCATTTATTTCTACAGTTTCAAATTTCTCTGAGCCTTACTTAAAGGTGTAAAACTTCCAGACAAGAGCCAAGTGACATTGAGAGATTTACAGTTTCGTATATCAGCTTGCAAATTTGAACTTTTATTTGCCTCTGATTGCTTCCATTTTAGGAAAATACAATGTCTGCTAATATATAAAGTGATACACAGTACATTTATTGTTAAAGCAGTAAATACAATGGCACAATGATAACATTTCAGGTGTCTGCATAGCCTTCTGACTGTTAGGGTCTCCGTTTTGGTATTTTTGTTACCTATGAGGGCCACTGAGTGTATAAGTGTAAACATCTTGTCAGTTGTTACTAATCTATTTCTATATTCATTACTTATTTTTGCTACCAACATACACCCGGATAAATTTGTGTTAGCCTCACATGTCTCCCCTACACCAGATTCCTCTCCATGGGATGGGGGCTTATATGAGTAGCTTCAGGGCACTCTCATCCTGTTTTCTAATTACTTAATATGTTTAAATGTCATTTTCTTAATTAGATTGTAAACTCCTCAAGGAGTTAGGTAATGTTTCCTACTTCTTTTGTACCATCACATAGTTATAGGTATGCACTAAATGGTTTACAAAACTTGTAATTGTCTTGTTGATAAACTAATAGAACAAAGGAGAGAAAACAAATTGAAATATCCAAAAATTAGAGGTAAGATATTTTGAAACCAAATCACTTGAGTGGAGAAAGTGAAGGATTTGAATTGATTTGTTTATATATAGTTTTATATATATCGTTTATATATAGTTATATGTATATAAACTGTATCTACAGTTTATATATAATTATATAGTTATATAGATAATATATCTCTATATCTATATAACTATATAACTTCAAATAAGTGGTGTGGCATTATTATCTATATTTATTTATCTATCTTTATTTGTATATGTTTCTTTTCAGCTTAGTGGACAATTTTAGCAACTGTATGTCTGTTCACTTTTCAAATCTATGAATGAAGAAAAGGATCTGTCTAGCCAATAAACAAGTTAGATTACCAATTTAAAATTAGTTAAGGCAGAAGATTTGTTATTTCACTGTGGTCATAAATATAAGCCTGGATATTAAATATGATTCAATTATTTTGAAAATATTAATATTTTTAGCTTCAAAACTAAAATAGTCTCAGGACAAAGGCAGTGAAAGAGAAAGGCAGGGTAGTAGTAAAACTGGTGAGTCAGTAACAAGTCTTTTTGAAGAAGTATTCAATTCTGAAAGTTTCTTTTACACATTCTTCTATACGAAAATAGATCTTATGAATACAGGCTTTATAGATTGGAGCAGATTCACTGGTATAATGGCATCTGTCTTCAGAAATGGGGTTATATGATCATTTCCAATATATTGTATATAGATATAAGCCAAGGCTGTCCTTAAAAAATATTTTTGACATCTTATCTACATTTGTATGTATAGCCCTTGCTTTATCTTTATCAACAAGCATAAGACACTAAAAAATTAAATACAGTTAATTAGGCTTGTTTTAAAATAATATATGATAATGATACCCTGTTATTTATAACAGACACAAGGAAAAGTATTTTTGAATTATTAAATTGAATAAATTTTCACTTAATCTCTAATTAGAATACAGTCATACCATTTCAAGCTGTGACCTTGTCAAGTCTCCTAAGATAAGCAGCTGGGAACCTGGTTTGTAGTCAGATGGGAGGCTTCCTCCAAACCTCATGATGCAAAAACTGGTAGAGATGACTCAGCAGGCTATGTTTCCTCCTACAAAGGCATTACTAAAGGCATATGCTGTCAGATGGGGGAATAAAGGAAAGATTTATCACACTATTTCATTTACTAGAAACAGAATTATGAGGAAAGAGGCAA